CAGGCTTCCAGCCTTCACAAGGTCCTGAAGCCAAAGCAATCAAAGAAGGTTCCTTTTCTAACCGATTGTCACAAGGGGAAGGATTAAGATCTGCCACTGGGCTAGGCATGTTTTTAGGAGGTTTATGACTAGTCCATTGAGCTTCCATCTGTTGTGATAGATTTTCTATCAGTTTTTCTATTTTTTCCATCACTTTTTCTATTTTTTCAATCCTCTCTTCCAACTGAATTTTTTGCGAATCTTTAGTATGGGCTGCTGCCATTGAAGGCTGCAATACATTTTCATAATATTTAGCAGCTTCTTCCTCAGGGCCTAGGGGCTCCAGAGGAGCCGTGGGAACAATAGTTTCACTTTCATCATAAGATTCAGGTTCCTCTACACTCAATAAATTTTTAAAAATATGTACAAAAAACATGTAACTAATGCTGGCTCCCATTTTTAATATTTACAAGAAAATTCACCGCTCCTTACCTTTTCGTTGAGGCCTCCTTCTTCTCTGCGGTGTCCTTCACTGGATCCCTCGATACCCAGGCACAACGTTGGGCGCCACTTGTGGCGGTCCGGCCGTCACAACACGAGCGTACCTGAGTTGGGGAGTGAGGATTGAGAAAGGACAGCACACTCAATAGTGTGGAGACAAGAGGTCCGATTTATTACACAGAAACAGCTCCTTTTAAAGGCAAGCCAACAGGAAACATCAAGCAATATTAGGGAGGAGATCAAAGGTCAAACTTAACAAAGTCCTTGAGCCGGGCGTGGTGGTGCACGCCCGTAATCCCATAAAACTAGTCTGGATTACAGTGAGCTCCAGGTCAACACCCGTAATCCCATAAGCCCAGCCTGGATAATCCCATATGCCCAGCCTGGATTACACAGTGAGCTCAGCCTGGATTACACAGAGAGCTCCAGGTCAATCTCATCTGCATAGCTGAGACCCTCATCTCAGAAAAGCCAAATAGAGTCATAGATTGTGTCAATGCCTCAATGGTAGAAGTTACTTTTCCAATGTCAAATGCCAGCGGGCTCCCACACATATCTACCTGTCCCCTTTCCATTCTAGTTTTAATTATATTATTTATTAATGCATCTTAATTATAATATGAAAAGTTAATCACTTGAAACACTTCCCAAAACAATATTCTCTCCTTTCTTTCCTCTCTCCTTTTCTCTCTCTCTCCTTCCTCTCTCTCTTCTTTCCTCCCTTCCCTTCCTCTCTCCTCTTTGCTCTCCCATGCTCTCTACCTCCCTTCTCTCCTTTCTTCATTCTTATTTCCTAGTTCGATGTCTTTCTTTTCACAATTTCTTTTAATAATAGCCTTGCATAATGCTCACCATCTAAATAAGGTAACATCCTAAACAATGTTTCATATGTAGTTGTTTGATTTCTCTTCACAATGATCTATTATTATCATCTATATATTCTGATGAGGAGACTGAAGACCAGAAGATGAGCCAATGGTACTAGGTTGTGTAACTGCTAAGGGGTAGAGCTAGTATGTGGGTTCGTGCAATGTGATTTCTGAGGCACCGTGTTAAAGACTGTATTAACTTCTTGCTATTTTTAGTTTTTCAAAAGCTCAATCATATAAAATTCCTACCCTTTACTTCCCATTAGGAGATCTCAGAGTTAAATTTTAAAAGTTCTTATCTAATTTTAGCAAGAAAAAAGAAAGATACTATCGGAGCGTATCTCCATGTTGGTTTGGTGAGCATTACCATTGTGTAGACTGGATCAGGGCACAAGTGACATCCCAGGAGTGGGATAAAACAGAGAAAAAATTCAGATGAAGGCATCTTGAAGAGGTCTTTCTTCATTGTTCCAATCTCTATACTTTCTCAGACAACTCCGGTATCTTCTCTTATTTCCTGGGTTTGGTTGATAACTGGGGTCGATTTCACTTTAGTGATGTTTTCAAGTAATTATTTTTCAATGTTTTATAATCTCAATTCTCCGTGCACTTGGTCCCTCACCGTGACGTGGCTGCCCAGCTGGTTAATTGTTTCTATGTAGTCTTCATTTTAGATCTGTCTTTTTTCTCTCCTTTCCTTCCCCTGAGTTTCACATCCCTCTACCACTCAAGTGGGGTTGAAGGACCACCTGCAGCGAGGCATCTTGGAACCCGAGGGATACTCAGTTGTCACTAGGTGGTCGCTCTCTGGAGTCCGAAAGGATGGATGTGGTGTCAGAAATAGGACAGTAACGGTTCTGGTCTTAACACTGGCACAGTTTTACTAAATTTTGAATGAGAATTGCCTAGATTAAAGCCTTATGTTAAAAATAAATGACAGCTCTGGCTTTATGATTTAGGAAGCTTAAGAGATCTATTTTCTCTAATGTAAACTAATTCATTTCTGTCTGAAGTAATAAATTATGGATAAATTGAACCTCTGGGTAAAAATTGCAGTGATTATTATAGCACAAAATGTAATCTCAATAGGCTTTATATACTAAATATTATTTCACATTAAAATTTGATAAAAAGCTTTCCTTTTAGTCTTTGACGTACAACAAATACCCCTTTCTTTGGTTCCCACATACCCCAATTCAGGTTGTTCTTGATTTGGATTCCTGAGATGCTGTTAAAATGCATTTGTCTTTCAGGCAAATCAGTGGAGAAGGGAGCTAGAGTCGCTGTGATTTTAACAAGCACCTTGTGTCTATAAAAAGAAAAAAGCCACAGACAGGTATTAATTAAGTACATGGAAACTCCAGTCAAAATCTAGACAAGTACAGTGTTTGAATCTAGGAATAAAATCTAGAGGGTAAAAATGTGATGCAACATCAGATATTCTGGAGGTCTTGATAACAAGGATTTCCAGGATAGTCCATTCACTAAAATGAAATCAGCAAGAATTGTCAAACTTTGAAAGGAACAGTGATGAGAAGGATGAGATAAGAACACCGCCCCTTGCTTTTTAACAGAAGACAAGAGGATTCTTTTATTTCAAACTCAAAGTGGGCAGCTGTGGGTGATGGAATAGGGAGTGGTATTATGCGATTTAGGTGTGAGAGAAAGAGGAAAACATCAGCACCCAGCAAGCTATGGAGTGTTAGCCCTGAACATGGCATTATTTTTCCATGATCTGTGTGGTGAGATTTTTACATGATATTGTAATTAACTCTTTGGCCATTCGCTATTTTTTCAACATTATTATTACATTTAAATATGTGTAATATGAAATTTATACTTTACCCCTTTTTAAGTGTACAGTTTTGTGACATTAAGGACACAAATGTTCAACCAATCACCTGAACTAATTTCATTTCATAAAACTAAAACTCTGCCTGTTAAACATTAACCTCCTACCCATAGACCTCGGAAACCAGCATTCAACTCTCCATATCTATGAATCTGACTAATCTAGATACCTCCTACAAGGGCAATTAGACAATAGTTTACCTTTTGTGATTGAAATATTTCACATAGCCAGATATCTTCAAGATTCATCTGTCTTGTGATATATTTAAGAATTTATTTCAAAAACTAATATTCCTGTGTGTGTGTGTGTTTGTGTGTGCCCACATGTTTTTATATAATTTTGCATCACATTTTTCCATGTGTGTCTACCTGAGGTCCTCAAGCTGTTTGCCTCCTCTTTTTAATGTTATGATTACAAATATAAAATAAAGGATGTTCTGTTACTTATATACATTGAATCTATTATATTGTTTCTATGCAGTCTAAGGCAATTCTTCACTCAGTGTAGTTCAGGTAAGCTAAAAGTTTGGACACACCCATGAAGCATTCATTTGTACACAAACACTTAGGTTTGATCCATTTTTTAGTTATAGTAAATAGTGCTGTTGTGAGCAGTGATATATGAATTTCTATTCAAGTCTCTCTTTTATTTCTTTTTGTTATAGATACAAGCAATTAGAATGATTGAATCTCAGGGCAATTGTGTCTTTAATATTTTGAGAAATTACAATACCGTTTTCCACATTAACTATACCATTTTCTAAACATATCAGTAATGCTCAAGGATTCCAATTTTCTAATTCTTTGCTCACAATTCTTTTTTTAAAATTGATTTACCTTAGTTATCCCAATGGGTGTGCCATGGTATCTTACTGTGGCTCTGTTGCTCAGCTGATAATTAGGAACTGAAATCAGAAGACAAAGGCCTCTTCATGTATGGCAACAACCATCTGAAAAAATCTCTGAAGTAATATTTATTGTAAAATGCCAACAGAATTGAGCACTAAAAATGAACAATACTACAAACCCCACTTATAGAGAAGTAGTGCAGTTAGACCTGAATTTGAGTTCTTGTTTTTCACAGCTGATCATAGTTGAAATTGATCATTTGAATGACATTACTCATTTTTATTTTCTATAAATATTATTAATATTGTACATATGTATGCTAGAATTACATTATAACTTTACATACAACTCAACCCTAACTTGTATATTGTTTCATATTATTTCCCAAATGTTTAACAGCAGTTTTTATTACAGCTGCTAGAATTTGAGCTAATTGAGATTGAGTGCATTTGTCATGATTCTTCTTTCTACTTCACAGAACAGATACAGCTGAAGAGAAACTTGTAAATAGTATTTTTTTTCCTTTTTTTTTGTTTTTTGTTTTTTTTTTGAGACAGGGTCTCACTATGTAGTTGAGACTGACCTGGAACTCACTATGTAGCCCAGGCTGGTCTCGAACTCACAGTGATCCTCCTCCCTCAGCCTCCCAAGTGCTGGGATTACAGGCGTGCGCCACCACGCCTGACCCCTGAAACTTGTAAAATATGTTCTTTGATTATACAGGCTTTGTGATTGGAAAATAAAGCTCTTTAAATTTATTTTTTTGAAAATGATCATAAAAATGCAAAGAGATGCTACTCATCGCCACACTTGCCGGCTGATTTTAGGAATGACTAGAGGAGGAGGACAAAAAGAACTGAAGCTAGGGCAAGGACCTGAGTTTGATCTCGGGTACAAAAAAAAAAAAAAAAAAAAAGGAAAAGAAACTAATTTCTTATTTTTCAATAAATCTTGGTTTTGTAGATTTTTACGTTGAAGCCCATGTTTATCTGTCCCAGATAGATTTTTACGTTGCCCTGATTTAGCCTGGGTAAATTAGTGACATGCGCAGTTGTGGGCCATTCCTACCTTTCATTTTACCTTTTAAAGAACTGAATTTTCTCGTCCTATTTTTTTTTTTTTCCAATTGATTTTTGGGGTAAGGATTCAGAAACCCATGCTATTTACAGTGGTGGCAGGAATCTAAGGAGAATATATAATCTTTTTGGAAGGAATAGCTCTTATTCCCTGTTTTCTTCTTTCTTCCTCTGCCGTCTCCTCCTGCTTCTCCACTTTCTTGTTTTTTCCTTCTTCTGTTCTTACTTCATCTTGTTTTCTCTTATCCCTCCTTCGTCTGTGTTTTCAAATAATTTATGTTTAGTTTCCTATAAAGAATTTAACTCTTCTACTTTAAAAATTCTGCTAGGATTTTCTTAGAAAAATCACTTATGCTTCAGAAAGAACTGAAACTAACAAAGGCTATTTATTCAAATTTTCTGTGTCTTCAGAATGATTTTGAAGTGTTTAATGAAATTCTGCATATTCTTTGTGTGTTTATCCCAAGATACTCATATTATTACTTTTGTTTGTACTGCTATTTTGGACAATCTTCTTTCTTTTTTGTTTTTTTCTATATATCAATTCTTAATTTCTTTAGAGTAACATATTATTTAATTAAATTATTTTTTAGTATTTTTCTTAATTCATTTCCAAAAGATTTTCTATTTACTATGCTTACTATATAACTAGTGACATATATTTCATTGTTTTAATTTTTATAACTTTTAGCATTTACATTTACTGATAATTCTAAAATGATATTTTAAATAGTGATGGTGAGTGTGGCCTTTCTTTTCAACCTCTTCATTTATTTACAGCGATCCTGATATTTTTTGAGTAAGCATAATAACACATTTGGATGTTTATATATGCTCTTTAAAGTAAAGCATGTTTTTAAAATTGTCAAATGATTTTGCAAAATTCATAAAAAGAATATATACATATTTATATATTATGATTATTGGATTTTCTTTAATGAACCATTCTTGCTTTCTTCAAAGAAAACAATAGTATAGTGTATTTCTATTTATACATATTATCATTAATGTTAGTGTATTTTCATTAATGAATTATTCTTGAATTCCTAGAAGAAATTCCTCTTGGTTATGGTACACTGTTCCTTAATATTCTGTTACATTCTGGATGTTTATGTTTTCTGTAGGATTCTTTCACTGATATCCTTCGTGAGACGTCTATGGTTTATGTGTATAAGTTAATAAATGCAGCAGTTTTAGCCATGCAACTTGGAACTTTACCTTCATTTCTGTTTTCTAGGATATGCAAAATTTACATCGGAATTAGCCTATATTTAAAACAAACTGGTATAATTTTCTGAGAAAACATTTAACAATAATATTTTAGTGGACCCTTTAGTACATTTTTAAAATTCATGAATTTTATTGGTACATTTTAGGAAGATAATATGCTAACATTAATTATTGGGAATTTGTACCTTTACATAATCTATCTTGGTTTTTATTTTTTGCCCCAGTCCCCTGCCCTCCCTTCAACCCCTCCGCTCCTCCCTATTTACAAAGACTTTCTTCTTTTCGCTTTTATCGTACTTATTCCTTTCCCCTACCCTCCGACTTTCCCTTCCCTTTTGGACCTTTTTTCTTATTTTACTTTATCTATTATACATTTTGACCCTTATTTACACTTTCAGTTTCTCAAATCAGAGAAACTATTCAGTATTTATGCACATGTGTCCTATTTATTTCACTTAAG